CAATTGAATCAAACAACAAATTATATAAAAATAGATCTTTGATGAGCATATAATCTGATATGTATTAAAATAAGAAATGAATAGAAAATTACATTTCAAACCAAGTATGGACATTTTGAATATAATATCATGCCTTTTGGACTCACAAATGCACCAATTGCTTTTCAACACCTAATGAATGATGTCTTTTATGAGTTTCTTGATGATTTTATTGTCTATTATTTGAACAATCTCTTAATTTATTCTAAGATTATAGAAAGGCATGAATTTCATATTTGTTGTGTATTACAAAAACTTAGAGATGTAGGAAAATATGCCAAGTCAAAAAAAAATATATTTCACACTATTCAAGTTGGCTTTCTAGAATACATCATTTCCAATGAAGGATTAATGATGGATCTGAAGAAGATTCAAACTATCATGGATTGAAAGATTCCAAAAATAATAAGGGACGTACAATGCTTTTTGGGCTTTGCTAATTACTATTGGATCTTCATCAATAATTTTTTTCAAGTCGTAGCTCCACTTATACATTTAACTTATAAAAACAAACTTGAGTGGAATAAAGAAGCTAAATTATTGTTTGATACTTTAAAAAAAGAGTTTATTTTTGTACCAATCTTATATTGTGTTGGATTTTTTAAAGGTAGTTTTTTTTATAGAAAAAAATGCATTAGACTTTGTCTAAAGTGAAATACTATCATAAATAGGAGTAGATGACAAACTCCATCCAATAGCTTTTTATTCCAAAAAAAATTCAGCACTCAAGATTAATTATGAGAAACACAACAAAGAACTTCTTGCAATTGATGATTAATTTCAAGAATGGGGTCATTATTTAAAAAGAAACTTGAGTCTAATCTCAATATATACATATAACAAGAAGCTTGAATATTTCATGTCGACACATATTTTCAATTGTTACAAAGCTCATTGGAGCATGTCTTCATCAAGATTTTATTTCAAGATTACTTATTGATTTGAAAAACAACAAGGTTTATTTGACCCCCTTTTTAGACATTCTTATCTTACATCAAAAGAAGGAGATGTATCTTTTATCAATAAAGAACAATTTTCTTGAAGCTAGAGCATTTTCACCTTCGAGCTATAAAATCAATATTAATTATTGATTCAACATTTGACAAGCAAATTCAATCAAATATGTCCTATGATCCTTTTATCCTTGATACTTCTAAGTTTGAATTTAAGAATAAACTACTCTATTTTATAGGAAAATTATACATTTTAGAAGATAGAATACAATTATATGTTTTTGAAACTTATCATGACTTTTCAACAACTAGATATTTTGAATACAATAAGACTTTGGAGCTAATATCAAGAGATTTCTGGTGGCCTCAAATATGGAAGGCAGTCAAAGACTTTGTACAATCATGTGATATTTGTTCAAGATCCAAAACTCCTTGCCATTGACCTTATGAACTTTTTCATCCATTACCTATTCCTAAACAACCATGGTCTTCAATTTCTATGGATTTTATCATGGATGTTGTAGTCTCACGTTTGTATAATTCTATATTCATGGTACTAGATCTTTTTATCAAGATGGCATATTTTGTACTATGTACAAAATCTATCATATGTAAAAGAATGGCTAAACTTTTTTTAAATAACATGTATCGCTATCACGGATTGTATAAAGCTATTATATTGGATATGGGGACTTAATTTATATTAAGATTTTGGAGAATCCTTATCAAAATTTTAAAGGTAGATATAAAGCTTTCTTTAGCTTTTTATCCTCAAACTGATGGATAAATGGAATGGGTGAATTAAGTTTTTGAACAATACTTGAGGTATACCATCAACTATCATCAAGATGATTGGACAATTCTTTTACCATTCATAGAATTTACGTATAATAATTTAATATATTCTTCTACTCAACAAACATCTTTTTTTACCAATTATGGTTATCATCTACTACTTGATACTTTTGACTTTTTAGAAGTTGATAATCGTATTGCACAAGATTTGGCAAATCATTTGTAAAAGCTACATGTAATAATGAAGGCACAATTAAAGAGAGTTCAAGAATGACAAAAAATTAATGTAGATGCCTATTGCAAGAAATAACTTTAATTCAATATAGGTGACAAAATATGATTATTTGACATAGTATCAAGACTATTTGTTCTTATGACAAGTTGCACTATTGTAGGCTTGGACTTTTTCATATTAGTGAATAAATCAATCCTATTATTTATCAATTTTATCTACGAGAGTCTATAAATATCTACCTTGTATTTTATGTGTCCTTTTTGGAGCCATATAAGATAGTGAATATCTTGAGAAGAAAACAAATACCACCTCTTCTTATAGAAGTAGATAATAATCAAGAGTTTGAGGTAGAAAAAGCTTTAGATTCAAGGTGGCGCCAAAATAGATTGGAATATCTTGTTCATTGGCACAAATATGATATTAGTGAACTGACATAAGAGCCGGCAATGAATCTTGTAAATACAATAAAGAAAGTTGAAGCTTTTCATCGATAATATCCATCAAAATCAAGATAAAGAATAACAAATCTTTATTATAAAAGAAACAAGTTCAAAAGAAGATAACACTCTACCTTCTATCTTTCTTTGTAGCTTTTGTGTATTTGTGATACTAAGAAGATGGAGAAGCAACAACTAGTAGATTTAATTTAAGAGCTTTCATTTGTAGACTTACCAAATGAGACATTACAATTGTGACAACCTTCAAGATGACAAAATCAAGATAAAGATCCTCAAGGACGACATGTCTTTCTCTAAATAGATGGCGAGATACAATGTATTTGGTATCATGACCTTGGAAGAAACTCTCAATGTTTGGTGATTTTATTAGAGGTAGAAACAATTCCTCACAGTGTTCCAAATGTTTTATTTGAAAGAAGTTACAAAGGCCTCAACAAAAATCAAACAATAAGGTGGTCTTCTTGTCCTGATACGGGACACTATCAATAGTTGATAAGACCTGTCAACTATTTTTGAAGAGATCAACGTTCAAAGTATATAAGAAATACAATTGCTGCATCTTAGATTTTCTCAACAGATGAAGATCACTTCTTGTAGAACTTATCCCTAGGAAGAGGAGTAATGTCACGAATATATATACGTACTCTAGTAAATACCTACATGATTAGGTAGAAGTAGGTAAAAATAAATAAAAATAAATAAAAATAAATAAATTTCATAATATCTTCTAAAGAAGCTTTTCAAAAGCTTCATAGACACTAATTTGACTTAACATGTGTTTGTAGTTGATTGGTAGGCTAGAAACTTAATCAACAAGTTAATCACGTGTTGGTAGCTTACAAAACAAGTTAACTAGATAGGACACATACAGAAAACTTGCAAGTTAAAATACGTGTCTTGCAAAGTCAACATGTTTTAGAGGTCCTATACAACATCGCCATATAGCTCCTAGTTAAGATTATATATGGAAGCAAGAGTAAAGCCTTCTTTAATCTTGTCAATACCTTTCTAGTCCTTAGTCTTGTTTCAAGACTTTCTAATCTTCTTGTTTTTGGCAATAGCCATTCTAGTTTAATAAAATATCATCTTTGAGTGACTTTCTAGTACTTTTCAATATCAAAAGAATGTATTGAAGATTTCTTTCTTCGAGATTCATGTCCTTAACATAGATCCAACTTAGTTACATAGTTGCCATGGCAAAAATTAACACAGTAGATTGTAAAGCTTTGATAAGAATGATTTCTATTGTGCTTATTGTATACTATCTTCGATGCTTTATAACATCTAATAATTAGTATTGTTTTTGCAACAATTGATATCAATTTATAGAAAAGATTATATATATATATATATATATATATATAACATGTAAATTTAATTAGACATGAAATTTAAAAAGTTTAATGTATATTAAGAAGGTATTATCATTAGTATTTATTTTATAATCTTTAAACAATGTTTTGGTTGTTTAAATAAGTTAGATGAGTTAAATATACAACTCTCAATTAATATGCAAAAAACTCAAGTTCTTCATCTTTCTAAAAGTATTATTATTAGTTATTTAAAATTCAAATATAAGTTAGAAGAAATAATATATATATATATATATATATATATAAATGAAAAGAAAAGAAAAACAATATATATACATTAAGCAAATCCAAATCAGTCCTTAGAATACAATTACATGATGCTATTATGAAAAAATAATTGTTGCTATTCTATTTTTATCCTTCATAGATTATCAACATTTTTTTATTTTTTATTTTTTTTAACAATACATGAAAGATAACATATACAATTTCATATATAATCAATAAACCAATAAACAAATTGTGGAGGAAGAAAAAGCCAAGTACTTTAACAAAACATCTCCTTAAGTGAGATTTTACTCCAAGATTTTATCTATACTATAAGTCCTAGGTTCTAATTAAACCATTGCATGCCCACTATTTGTGTATTGCTCTAAGTATATAACAAACTAGTCAACATATATTGATGAATAAAACTTGCAACATTTACAAGATTTAACATAAGCTAAAATTTACTAGGCTAGTCTAGTGAGTACTACTCCACCACTAAGTGCTAAGTCCAAGTCAAGAAGTCAAGGCCAATAAAGCCAAGTGAAAGAAAAAAAAGTCATACAATTGCATAAATTTTTTGGAATTCCTTCTTCTAATCTACTTCTATTTTAGAGATAATTTTAACTCTATTGTTGTGTAAAAAGGAACTAGTGGTGGGGCTCTGAATAAAACCTATCCTTCACTGACATTGGTTTAGGAATTGCCAAGAGAGTGATGTAGAGATTGCCAATAAATAACCTATTCGTGCTAGGAGCTGAAGGGTGCTAGACAATACAGAGATTCCACGTTGTATTAGCATCACATGTATCACTTGGCATTTTTGTGAGATGCAAGCACTTAATAACAAAGTTTTAAAGTATTGGGGTTTGTTGGTGTCAGAGCAACCCCAACTATACCGCAAGTGAAAGGTTGCCGATTGACGCAAGAAGAATGTGAGTTTCTTGAACACAGAATGGTATAATCAACAATGAAAAATCCGCTGCACTTCCAATGTTTATAGGAAACAGTAAAGAACAAACTGCGCCTGAGGTGCCCAGTGAATATCGCCTCAAACTGGGAGGCTACTCCTGGACGCAAACAATGCAAAAGAATGAGTGCATCGATTTGCACGCTATAGATATACAAAAAATGATTTACAGCTCGAAGTCACAGCTCTAAGCAAGGAAAAAAAGTTAAGCTTTCTCCAACTCAAAGTGGGCTCCCTTTGTGGAGGATCTCAGCAACCCTTCATGTAATTGCCCATCGTACACAATGGGCTTGATCTTTGGAATGTGAGGAACAGTATCTGCATCATCCCTTCTGCTGAGGTTGTTCTCAAAGACCGAAGAGGATGCAGTTAGGTCAATTTCTGTCCCAGCTTTCAGCTTCTTACGCCTCCTCTTGATTAAATGGTGCTTATCAATCACACGACCCATCAACTTCGTGCCTTCTCGTGGTTTCTCTTTATACTCAACCTTACTAATTTTCAAGGAGCTCTTCAGAGCATCGTCAGGGTAATGTTTGTACTTTCCAGTTTTCTCACCCAAAGGCCATGCTCGTTGTGATCCTGAAATGTAATTGTTTTCGTCGTCAGGGGTACTATCATCACTACGTTTGAGCGAGGAGTGACCAGAATTTTGACTTGTATAATTTATCAAACTTCCTCCAGATCCGTATCTGAGTTCGTCCTCGGCTCTCAGCGCATCGCTAGAGGAGCCCGCTTTCCTTTTCCTTGGTCCCTGGTACACTCTAAAACTTGGTCATTTTTCTCCATTTCGGCATAATCTGGAGTGGTAGTGCAATTGAATTCGAAAGACTACAAGTGATGTTTCTGCATCGTGTAAGGTCACGGCCTTAGACTAGCAGGAATGACAGCAAGGACACAACTCAAGGAACGCAAATGTACAAAATGAAGACAAGATAGCAACATCTTGACCCAGGGGAAGAGCAAATGAAATATTACTTTGTTCAATTTGTTGAGGCGCTTCTGTCGTTCCTTAGCTCGCAAAACCGCAGCTTTGATGCCATTATTGTCCATCCAACCCTCTGGCCATAATTCCGCCAACTGCAAAACACGAATATGATTTTTGTAGTCAGTGCCTCTACACCCTTTAATGTAGAACTCATTGTTTACAAAACTTATGAATTGTTAGGACACCATAGTTTCTTTGACTTGAGCGAGGTCTAATTTGATAATACAGCCACAACGATGTGAATTTAAAAGAGTTGAATACCTCAAAATAAAGCTTCCGAATTTGCGGTCCCTTATGCTCATCCATTCCCTGTGACAGCAATATAACCATACACAATCATACTCCAATCAAGCAATAACTTTGTGGAAGAGGAGGATTGTAACATGACCCCTGAATTACACAAATATGATGTCGTCCATTGCAGGTGCTTTAAGTTATCACATGATTCACTTGGTAATGCTTAATCCACACTGATGCTCTCTCTTGAGTATCTCGGCAGACAACGCATGACTTGTATGAAATGAAGCAGAACAAAGTTTTCACTATTGGCGTGTGTCTACCTAGTGCAAATAAACACTTGTGCTACCAAGAAATATTAAAAGAATTGAAGGCGCTATGCACGACAGATAGAGCTAGTGAATGACCAAGACAAATACCTCCAGATACTGATCGTAAAGATTGCAAAGAAGATCCTCAATAGCATGATCCCACTTATATTTCTCAGCGGATGAGCCTGCTTTCTCCACTGTCGAAGGTCCTGCCTGGAAGTCATCTGAGGAGCCCTCTCGTACCTCAGCATTCTGAAACCAGTCATGTTTTTTGGTATAAGGTTCTCCAGCTCCTCAGGAATGGTGCAAGTAAATAATAAAATGTACGAGTCTAGCCTAACGGAATTGCTCACATTTTGTCATGATCAATTACTTCAGAACCAAAACTCTTCAGCCCACGGAAGTATCAGACCACAGAATAAAACATACCTTGAACTTCGTCACTTGGTTCCTCACCATTTCTGTGACTTCCCGTTTAATATCTAATAACCGACCTTCTTTTTCTTGCTTAGCTGACAACCCATGCTCCACCATCTCTTTCAAATTCCTCTGCAAGACATGAAGCACAAACAAATGAAACGAAGGAACCACTTCAAAACTGAGCAATTAGAATATGAGTAGAAATTGTGTGGAAAGAACCTAAACATCAGTCTATGAGGAGTTTCAAAATCTTGTTAAAAATAACATGCTTCACGAGTGTAAATAAATGAAGAAGCTACTGAACGAACCTTCAAGGTATTCGGACGCATGATGTGGCCTAAAATGCCATGAAGTCGCTCCACAAGTTCATCCGGAACCTTCCCTTGTTTCGCCTGCTGCTCTTCGCCAAAACACGGACTGTAAATCTTCTGATAAAAAAAAATTGAAATTGCCAAGAAGAACAAACAACGGCACAAACTTATTCCATCCATAAATCTGCACAGAGGTAATTCCCGCTCTTCAGTTCATAATACTAGACAAAAATATGTTAATAAGTGACAACGATACGGAATGGATCAACAAGTCTTCACAGGTCTCAGTGAACCTCACCGCTAGTCTTGCGACTTTGGCCAGCCTTGTCTTCACTTCCCTCGGCAAACGCTTTGCCTTCGCTCCAGGCTGCGATAGTGCCTCTTGCTCTTCTCCTTCAGGTGAAGGGGGACAAACTGTTGGCAAAATCCATTCTATATAAGAAAGCTACTATCACTATGATGCAACATGTTAAAAAGAAAATATAAGAATAAACATATGACACGTTTTAATGTTCACAATCACTCCAGGGATTCCCTAACAACATGAAGACCAATCGAACATTTTTCTTCATAGAATCGTCGGAACAATTTACTCAAGGTTACGCCCGATTTAGAACTTCGACAGCCGCCGAGCAACACGAAGGAAAAATATAAAGAGCATTTAAATCCTGTCTAAAAATGAAGACAAACTTACGCAATGCTACCATCTTGATAAGATCTTGGATAGCCCTCTCCATGACCGTACCCTTAGGCCACCCACGTCTTCCTGGACTAGGTTCTTTTGGTCCTGGTGATAATGACTTCTGCTCCAGACTCAGGTTACAGGTGAGTCCAAAGAACAGTGTGATTGAAGTGGCACATGGAGATCAAAGTCATGACCGATGGAAGCACAAAAATAAAGGAACCAAACCTAAATGCATCTACAAAGTAATCGAATATAAGCATCATGTTGGAAAGTCACATTCGGAACATGGTACTTTAAATAATAACTCAAGGGAAATTATAACGACATCAAGCGCCTAGCGTACAATGCCAAAGTTACTACAAATGACATGGAAGTCTAACCGTGTAACCAGCAACTGCATGTCCTGCGCCGCCGTCAGAGTCTTTAGCTCCGTCCTCTTTCCCTGATTGTTGAATCATCTTCATTTTCAAACTTTCCGAAACTTTCATAACTCCTTTCGGTTCTCTAGCAGCCTGTTTCCACTTCTTCTCTTCGAAAGATGAGCCATACCTGTACTCTGATTTAATTTGGATATTTCTCCCTCCACCGAAAACGGATTCTGTGTTCAGCATAGCTGTTGTCTCCAGTAGTCTCTCAACGACTCCTCCATTGTTATCAACATCTACAAACAATTTCCACCACACATACTCACAATCCTCAATATCAATGCTTGTAAAATTCTCATAATCTTGAAATTAATACACCTTTTAAAATGTCAGGTTTACCTGCAAAATCTAGCTTTTCCTGCTTGTAAGAAACCCTTGAGGGCCCGGCAGAGCCTTGACGAAAAGCGTCACTATCACTGGAAATCTCCTCAGGATCACTTGATTGAGCTTTGTTCAAAGTGTGCTCGTTGGATACCTGTGTCTCACCTCCAGCAAAGTTGTGTGAATGCGAGGGAAATTGTCTAGAACCTTGCATTATCCGTCCTTTCATTCGTCTTTTAACCTCTTTTTCATCTTTTTTGTCTTTCTTAGATTCCCTACGCCTTCTCTTCTTAGGTTGCACAGCTGGACTTGGAGATGGTACACTTCTGCTCGGAAAAAAAGTAAAATTCATCAGTTGACCGGAATGCAGAGAATTAGTTGCGTTCACAAGCATCTACTATTAATACGTTTCAATTGAAATGGACTAAGCGTGGAAGTACCAAATCAGATTCATTTTGATCAAATGCTGAGCTCCAGTTTCGCAATTCATTCGTAGTGCTATCACTGCATCTTCTAATACAGTCACATAGCACTACTTGACGTTTTAATTACTACCAACATCCAAGAAAATTGAAGACTCTTCTATGTCTAAATTCTGAACGCAAAACAAAGTTGAAAAAGTATATTAAGTTGAAGATAATAATGATGAGGAAACAAACATTTTCTCAAGAGCTCCTCTGTTGATAAAGAACCCTGTATGTTTTGTCTTAGCCTCCTCCACCATGAAATACTCATTCTGAGTCACAAGAACGAAAAGTGTCGGAAAATATATATCCATGCAAGTGTGTTCAGCAATACACTGTTCTTACTTGCATTGAATATCTACCGTCCTAACCAGAGAAATCAACATAGAATCAGATGGTTACAATCGCATTTAATAGCAACAAAGAAGCACCTTGATTTCCAGAAATTGCTGCTACAAAGAACTGGACAGGCCATCAAGAACCACTGACTTTAACTCTACACTTCGCTCTATTCACATAAACTACAACAAATACACTGTGAGCAAAGACTAAAGAGCCGAAATCACGAGAAAGTATTAGTAGGTGATCACACACCAGTTCCTCATCATCAATAAAAGGATCGTCAGTGTCATATTGATCCTCGTCAGGGGTGTCCTCGGCACCGTCATCATCACTATCTCCTCCCTGTGGCGAATTCAAAATCAAGATCAAAAGCAAGTAGTATATTCAGCTTCAATCAGCTGTGACGGATAGCCGATGGTAAAAAAAAAATCTCTCAATTTCATATCAGAAATGCGGTAGTTGTCACCAGACCGAGCTGCATATTACCTTGTACAAACGCTCAATCCTCTCTATCACAGAGCTAAATCTGTTGGGAACTTGAGGTAGTGGATCGTCGTTTCCAGTCACAGAGCCAGCACCCTTCTGCAATTCATGATTGATAACAACATTCTTCTTAAAAACAAAAAATAAATTAGAAGAAATAAGAATCGAATTCCAATTTTCCCAGTTACAAACCGACTTACTCTGAATCATTCGATTGAAACAATCAACACAAAAGGACAGTACAACGTTCACATTCTCAGCGGAGTGAAGCGACTTGTACACAACAGAGCAGCGCAACCTCAACAACAGACAATGACGATAAGCAGGGAGACAAAATAAAATATAGTCAATTCCCAAACGAACACGCTATACTAGCTCAACCATCAAAACCAGTCGGTAGAGACCGGCGAGACAAACGCATCATGAACAACTCACAACCATTCCGACAACACCACGAATAACCACAAAAAAAAAAAAAAAAAAAAAAAAAAAAAAAAATCAGAACAGCGACAACACCATACCTCAGGTGCGATTCGGGCTTCTAATGCAGGATTGGCGCCTGCGGGGGCGTCCGACACTCTGGCAGACACCAGCTTCCCCTCCGCATCCGACACCAGCTTCTTCCATGAAACGACTGTAGTTTCCTCATCCTTCAGCTCCACGAAGAATCGCTGCCGGGATGGCATGGCAGACAGAGAACTGGCGAACTAGCAACCCTAAACCGAGCGGCAATCACGCACTCGTCCTCTGTAAACCCCAACCTCATAACAATACAACCATCGAACTAACGGATAAAAGACCAAAAAACAAAAACGAAACCAAAATAATAATAAAATAATAAAAATAAACCATCACAAGTTAGAAAACGACACTACGAGTTCGGTAACTATCAGAGACAGCCCTAATTCACGATGCAGGTGCATGCTGTGACGATGTGTGCACCGCGAGAGCAGCACTACAACAAAGTGGCGACGAAATCTAAGCCTGATCCGAGCTCCAAAGCTTCTCTTCCTCCTCCATCTCCGCCGAGCCCACCTCCGCGCTTCCTTAGGTCTCCGTGTTGCGACGCTTGTTGTCCACGAGTTTTGGCTATGTCCATCGTGGTAGGCCACCTGGCAAGGAGAGGAAATATGACCCCCAGTTAACACTTAGCCCTAAAAATTGAAAGATATATATATATAAATGGGTTTGTGTGAGTGAAGGTGTGAGTAATAGCTTGATTGGTTGTGTTTGTTGCTGGATGCTTTGGAGTTACTCCCAATTATTGTGTGTAATTGCATGTCATGAAAGAAATAGGCCATAATTGGCAATGCATGATGTTGTTGTTTACAAGAGTAAGAGTGTGCCACGTTGGCTGATGCTCTACTATCTTGATCTTTGGTTGTGAATGCATAATGGAGTTTTTTTTTGTTTTGTTTTTGTTTTTGTTTTCTCTCTTTTTGAATGTAAATTTGTGTGTGGATGTGTGTAGAAGATAAAGAAATGTGTTGCATTGTTAGAATAATTTCTAATTAAAAGTTGAATTGAAGGACACTTCACCATTGACTTTGGTTGACTGATTTTAATAACTTGATTTTTTATTTTTATTTTTGTTTTTCTATCCGAGTTTATAAAAACAAAGACTCATTCCTGTTGAAATGTAACAATAGCAAGTCTATGATTACTTATTATATACTTTCACTTCAGCTTTTATACAAACATTGGCAAGTTCAATAATGATACAATTCATCAAACAGGGTTCGCTAAGTTCTGACTTTGAAAATAATAATTCACAATCCTTAAAGTATTGATATCGTTAAGTAATTACATTTATAAAAGATTCTCTTAAGTTTTGATACTGCTTTCATTACTTATAGGAAATATTAAACAAAAAACAGAATGTAAATTTTCATGCATGTATTAATTGTTAATTTTCATTACTTGAATTGTATAGGACTTTCAAAAGATTCGCCAACTTACTTCTGTGTGTTGCTGTTTTACAAACTGACTACGAGGTCCAATTTCCTTTGTTCTTCATCTTTCTATTTTTATACACACACGCCCAAACACACACACAAATATATATATATATATATATGAATGAATTACTGTGCTAGACTGAGAGGAAAATTTATCTGGCGATCAAAGTAGATCAAGTTAGTCTATTCTGCAAACACGCACCCTTTAGAGCCTTTTTCCCTTGTCAGAGAAGTCTAATAATTCTTCTTTCCAACCTTCCTAGCTGTGGCTTCTAGGATGCAACACAAACAAGCCCCATCGTCTGATTCTAAATCAAATACATTAAATTGACACATGGTTTGAAGAGCAATCAGGAGCAAAGTTTTAGCTTAACTTGGTATTGGCACAGTGAGAACCAAGCATTAAGAAAATTTGTCTATCATTGCACAACAACATCATCAAGCAGCACTGCCCCTGATTCTCTGCAACTATCTGAGGCATCTACCAGCTTGTGTACTCATACACCGAAGCAGATCTGAGTTAGAGAGATGATGCATTCCATCTGGGAAGTTTACCTTGGGTTTAAATTGATGCATATGCCAGAGGAACTACACCTTGCAGGCCGCAGTCAAGGTTTGCACCAGGATCTTGAACTTGGAATTTGTTTTGAAGAAAGTCCAAATAGTGGGAGATTCGTGACAGCATGCGAGGATCATCTCCATGGCCACACTCAACGTCGCTGGCCTTAATGTTGATGGTCATTCCAAAGCCGGGTTTACGATTTGCAAGTGTATCATTCTTCGTCGGCACCCACTTCCCGATCATAACTTCATGAGGAGATGGCCTTGTCTTGGCAGGGGTCATCCAGTACCAAATAGCTGCTTGCCATGCTATGGTTTCGTTTTGGGCGAGGATCTCAGGATGATGCAACAAGTCCTGCTTCAGAGCCTTCCCAGTTGGACCGTAATTGTAGTTCCTGAAACGCTCTCACGATTGATTAGTTAATGTGTTTAGGAAGCCTCTACGCCCAGCACAACTTCGATGTGTATGCTGTGGAAGGTCATCTCAAATTTCTAATTTTTCAAGAAACAAAGAATTGCAAAAGACAGTCAGCAATTGCTTATCAAACTGAATACGTTCTCAAGTTAGTTGCATGAACCACCCTTGCGGAGAGGAGATATCTCGAGACTTTTACCAGTAGAGAGGAAAGGCTCCACGTCCATAGTAACCAGCACCTGGTGCACATGGATACAGCAAATCGCCAGTCTTGCAGTAGTCTTTCATGGGAGCGAGCTCTTGGTTGTAGCATAGTCCCCATGCGGTAGGACCATCTTTGGCCATGCTCCATCCACCTATTCACCATATAAAACATCCTTGTGTGATTTATCAGGAGTCTATCCGAGCTTTTAAGGGTTAAAATTCTCGGCTCTTAACATGCCAAAGTACTAGAAAACATCCAAGTTGTGTATGTGAGAGAGTTAGCCTATGGTAAATCTTCAATGCTGAACACAGTGCAGTGCAAGCTAAAACAACACCTTCAATTGTGCGGCCACGACCGGCACTCTCGCCTTCTGAGCTGGCTCACATAGAGAGAGCTCTTAATGATCTGTCAGCGACAGTTCGATTTGCCTGGTGGTATTGTTAGTACTACCGCCCAAGCGAAATGAGAACATCCTCTTGGAGAGCACCTACGGTGTATCGACAATAGTGCATCTCCACGTCATTCTGAAGTACAAAAGGAACCTCAAGGTTGGACAACAACTAGACTCATGAGAACAAGGGATCTGGTGGGAATCACCAACGTCTATGTTTTATCCACACGATGCAAAACCTTTCGGGTATACCTCGTGGCCCAGAGAAAGGTCATCATGGCGCAGCAGCAAAATTTACGCAGGCACTATCTTAGTCAAAGTAGAAGCACAAAGGTTAAGGGTGTCAATTTGTCTCCATATATTCTCAGGTTTTCTTTTACTCCTTCGAAGAAATCTAAACAAGACTTAACTGGCGAAGCTCGAATGTTACTGGCTACCCTTCACGGTTTTTCTCTGTGGCTTTCCACTTTGCATTGGTCTGCAAGAGCAGCATTCCCGAGACCAAACACACTCCACTCGCCACCGCGGACAATACACAAGCTTACAACACGAAACGTGTTTCAAAGGGCTTACACGACGTTTCGTGGGCGACGTGGGCGAAGAACGCCGCGAGCTCCCGCTTCTGCATATCGTCACCACCCACGGAGGCGAAGCCGTCCTTCTCGAACATCTGAGCTGCAGCCATGAAGCCATCGTAGGTCCAGAAGCCCGCGGCATGCGCAGCTCTGTCGTTGCGGTGTTTGAACATGTCCTCGAAAGTTTGCACCGTGAACAGATCACTGATGGTTTTGTTGCATCCGTCTTCCTTCAACTCTTTAGTGCACACCAGTCCCTTGCGTCCGTGCGCGCTCACGCCCACCACCAAGAGAGCTGCAACCAGAAGTGCGGCAGCAGCAGCCATTAGTACTTCCCTACCCATCGCAGCAATCAACCCCACAACTCCAAATGCTCGCAACCCCTTCCTCGTACTCTATCGGTCGAACTAACATTGAGTAATGCTGAGCTCCAGCTGCTGCAGCAGACCAATGCAATGTGGAAAGCCAAAGTAGAGTACAGTTGCCTGCGCTGCCATTGCATTCTGCACAGGCTCTACTGACACTGCGAGTGTGTCAGGCGTGCTCTACACCCTCACAGCTCTGGAGCTTAAGGACCCAACATCTACGCTCCAATAACTGTGGTTAAGGTAGCCGACGCATTTCTTATAGCTTAAGCATTTCAGCTTATAACTTAAGCGTTTTATATGTAGTAAGTGAAAAAATAAAATAAAAATATCCCTGTGTAGGGAAATAGAAATTAGGAGGATTCCAAGTGTTTTTACAAAATTTTCCAAAAATAGAATTAAAATAAATGTTTCGCTTAAAGATTCTCCATTATTGGATTGTATATGCCACAAGTATGGTATCAAAATGTATTGCAAACTTGTGAGGTTTTAGAGGATGGGTGACTATTGCAATTGGAACATAGATTGTATTTGGGTAACACAATTTTGCAATGGCTTCTTGAACAAAAAATGAATGCTACTCATAAGTTGCAAGTCATACACTAAAGTTTGTAGTGAAATGCACTACTGTGAGCCATTGTCATTTAATAACATGACCATTAGGTGAAAGAAGAAAGAAAATATTTTATTATAGAAGAGCCTAGTAGAAAGATATAGATAAAAAAAAACAAAGATAAATAATAAGAAGGTAATAAAAAAAATAATCTTAATATTATCTTTTTATAGAAGAGTCTTTTATTTACTTTATAGGAGCAAAAATAAGTCAAATCAAAGCAAATGAAATAAGTAATTGATATAGGCATATTTAAAAGAAGATTAAAAATAGGTTTTAGCAAAAATTACCTTAAAATATAAAGAATTGATATCTTGAAAGAACATGTTGTATACTACTATTGAAATCATATTTTGACAAACAAAATTGCACATCTACAGCAATTCTGGGATTCTTTGGTTGATTGGAAAGTTAGATTTGAGATTAGACTTGTGAGAGGATTTTTAAGTGTTGATTTCATGTGATTTTAAGATATATTGAGGTTTTAAAAGCTTTTCAAAGTGAGAGGTAATTCGGTGGATTTAGATTTTAAGAAATAAAAAGAAATTCATAAATTTGATGATTTTGTGAGTATCATTGCATATTTATGGGTGAATTTTTTTTGTTTATCATTAAGCTTTTTGTAAATGTGTGTGAAAAAGTTCATAACAATTAAGTAGTTAAATTAATGGTTGTGAGTATTTTTGTGGATTATAGTCTCAAATAATTAAAATTTAGGATCAATGAGGATATTCACAATCTTAGAACATCTGCTAGTTTGATTGAAGCAAAAACTTTTGAGAAAAATTTAGATTTAAATACCTACATATCAACCAATTTTTGAAGCAATTGAATAGTGTCATATTACATGAAGTTTGCTTAAGAATGTATTAGACACTTGGCTATAGAAGAAAAAATTGAACTTGCAACAAGATGATTCTAAAAACCCTAATAGAATTCTAAACAAACTTCAATTAAATTATAAAAATATCAATCAATCTTTAATTAAATCCAAAAGAAGTCTTAAGAACTTATAAAAGAAACATAAAGAAATCATAAATTAATCTTAATAAAATATACATAATAAAGAAATCTTAAAAAAATATCAAAAATAAAAATCCTAATCAAAATCTAATACAACCTCCAATAAATTCTAATATAAATTCCAAAAAATCCTAATGAAAGCTTAAACCAATCTCAACCAAAACTTAAACACATTCTAATCAAATTTCAAAAAAAATCATAATTAAACTTGAAACAAATCCTAATCAAACTTGAGACAAATTTTAATCAAATTCTAGACAAATTCTAATAAAATTCTAAGAAAATTTTTAGCAAATTCTAAATCCTAATCCTATGTCAAATCCTAATAAAATCCTAATCAAATCTTAAATCGTAATCCTAAATTCTAAAAAAATCCTATAAAATCCTAAATAAATTCTAATCAAACCTTAGAAAAATTATAATAAAATCCTAAATCCTAATTAATTCTAAGAAAATTCTAAATAAATTTCAATCAATTATTATAGCTATTTGGAACCTCAATAAATATTAATTGAATTAAGGATCTTGACTAAAATTTTACCCAAACTTCAATCAAGAAGCAATTAACAAACACACAAATTTGAGAAGAATTGAACTTATCAATTGCAAGAAAAACTCACAAAACCTCTTGATTGTTGGATATCATCTTTCTCTAACTTAAATGTTGATCTTTCAACATTAATTTCTCTATGCTAAACTGTTCAATTACTCCAAAAATTGGAATATGTATAGATATTTAAGTCTTAATTATTCTCACCAAATTTTGCTTTAATCCAAAACGTGTTGTAATTTTGCACCTCAATCTTATAAATTGTAATTTAGAATGTACTGTAATTTGGCACCTTCTTACACCTTATATCTTTAGAAAAATTAAGAAGCAAAATTTGGCATCTCCATCCCACAAATCATAATCCAAAATGTATTATAATTTAGCACCTCCAAACACCTTGTACCTTTGGAAAAAATAAGAAGTATAATTTGGTATTCATATCCCTCAAATTTTAATTCAAAATGTACTACAATTTGGCTCTTTTACACACTTAAAAATTTTGAAAAAATTAAAAAGTAGAAAGTGAATATAAATTCATTTAAAAAAGCATGCACTATTTTATTTCTAATTTCATCTTTCTTGATTTTTTCTATATTTTCTATGAAAATTTAAAGATTACAACTTTGCTTTCCAACCATGTAAAGAATAAAAAATAATTAGTTTTTGATATATAATTAGCTACTTCATATGTACAATTATACTAAATTTTTATAATTTATGCATATCCATTCCAAGTATAGTAAATTTTATATATTGTTTCTTGTTAACTATTATTTTAATTAGCCTTTAATTAATTTTCAACCATAAGATGTCAAAATTTATTATAAATAGGATATTGTTGTAGAAAAAATATATATTTTAAGAAAGCATATGGCTTCTAGTTTCTATTAATTTCTCTAATTTTACTTGAATACTTTCAAAACAAACCACATCCAATAAAATTTTAGTCCATCTTAAATTTCTTTGCCTTTCAATCTATTAATAAATCATTTATTATAACTTCATAGAAAATATATAGGAAAACAAAACCTTCTTAAAAAGCTTATATATTTCTTTCTAAAGAAGGTTTCTACTTTCTAAAATTTAAAATCCTAGCCCCAAATTCTAAACTCTAAACTCTAAATTCAATCTCAAAATTCTAACTTTAAATCTTTAATTTATATAAAATTTAAATATGATTTAAAAAAAAAATTAAGTTGAAGATTCTAAAGAATTGATGCCATCATATTTTACCAACATTCAACTTGTAGCTTTTTATTTTTTTATTTTTAGAGAAGCTATATATAAATCTATTACAAAGACAAATATATAGAAGATGTACATGTCAATTATCATGTTATTATTAAGAGAGATGCTTCCTTCCACTTATATCAAGAATAAGAACTCAAAGAAGATATGTAAATAAATGAGATATGTATCAAAGGGAGATGATAAAATAGAAATAAGAAAGTATATATATTTAAAAAATAAATAAATAAATAAACTGAAATAGCTATTATCAAAGACTAGAAAACTTAAGACTCTTGAAACTATACTAGAAGCAAAAAAACAAAATTGACAAGAGTAAAGATGGCTTCATTCTTACCTTCATACATACTATCTAACTAGGAGTTATGTGACAATGTACTTCTAATATATGCCCAATTTACAAGACATGTGTCTTAGCTTGCGTATCTTAGCTTGCAAGACAAGTTTCTCATATACATGCAATAGAATTAGCTTGTACTACAATCTATCAATACGTGCAATATGTGATTAATTTATTGGCCAAGTGTTCAACCTACCAATCACCTATAGAAATATATAAAAATGAATCCACATCTATGAAGCTTCTAAAAAGCCTATATATAAGATATTATAAAATTAATTTATTTTTCCTACTTCTATCCATTAATTTTTATTCTAATTTATTACTTAATTATTTTAAAATATAGTTATTTCTTTAATTTTTATTTAATAAAAATAAATATTAAATAATTATAATATTTTATGATCCTAAGATAATTTTTATATATTGTAAGAATTTGCATTATGACATTCACCTTTTCTAATTTTGCACATTCTTTGATATGTATAATCAATTCTCTTTATTTTTTTTAGATTCAATTAACACTTCTTCAAATTTTCCATTATTATTATTATTATTATTATTATTTGTTATAAAGAACCAATAAAAATATTTCTTATTAAACCTTGAATATTTTTGTTTACAAATCTTTACTTTCTTTCCTATTATTGGATTTTTGATAGTAGTTCCATCTAAGTCACCCAAAGAATAAATATAATGTTATAGACTATAGATACTACAAAAGGCCCAAACCATTTTTTTTACAGTGCTTTGTTAATGATTAAGCTATTATCATAAATTAAAATCCAATTCCTAACTTATATAGGATTAGGTCTTAATTAGTAAATCTTATCAAATATTTTTTTATTCTTTAATTCAGTTATTGAATTATATGATTAATATTTAGAATAGTGAATAATAATTCTAATATCTATATTGCAACAAATTTAACAACTTAAGATGTTAATAATTTCATATTGTAATATAATTATTAGATAAAAGAATAAATAAAGAGCAATAAATTTAAAAATAATTAGTTAAAATATTAGTATAAATATCAAACACATCAAAAATTAATTGATATTAGATAATATTTTAATTAATTTTTAATATTAAAAAACCATTAATAATAAATAATAAATATTAGAAATTTTGATTATTTTTTGTTTCCTTAATAAAGAAAACTCCTATTTACTTTGTAGAATAATAGTTAGTGTAATGTATAGTAATTTAAATATTAAAAAATTAAAAAATCCTTAGAATTACTATTAAGAGCAATTTTTAGAAAAAATATCATAGAAAGAATTAAATTAATATTTAAGAAAGATGATTTAGAAAAAAAAGTCAAATCAAATC